CTTTTAACGAATGACACTTTATTCAGTCATTTTCTTTACAACTGAAACTCTGGGAATTCAAAATTAACATCCTTGCCCGTGAGCTTCTTATACACACCAGAAAAAGTTTCCACCTTGTGCTCCACGTTGTTCTGCTGTGCTTTGTCTAAATGAACCTTTATGAGCCTGCTGCCATCCAGTTTCACTCGGATCCTCTTGCCCACAATCTCACTTGGGAAGACCAAGTCCTCAAGGATGGCGTCGTGCACTGCGGTGAGCGTGCGGCTTCTGGGGCGCTTCTGCTTATTTTTCGTACGGCTTTTCCGAGTTGGCTTGGGCAGAATCCTCCTCTGAGCAATGAAGACTACGTGTTTCCCGCTGAACTTTTTCTCCAATTCACGAACCAGCCGGACTTGGATTTTCTGGAAGGATTTCAGCTGAGGAACTGGTACAAAAATTATGATGGCTTTCCGGCCACCACCAACTTCAATTTCCTTGGCCGCAGTAATGTTGAGCTCCCGCAGCTGCGCCTTGAGATCCGAGTTCATCTCCAGCTTGAGCATCGCCTGAGAGATGCCGGACTCGAACTCGTCCGGCTTCTCGCCATTGGGCTTGACGATCTTGGCGCCGAGCTGAACAGGGCTCGCCCTTACGGAGTGCCGGCTTGGAAAGAGGCCCAGCTCTCGCGAGAACTGCTCATATCCGGGTGGAGGCCGAAAAGAGGCGGGACGGCGGAAAATCATCTTTTTCCTCTTGTACAAGCAGCTTGGTTTACAGAAGCAGAAGCAGCAGTTAACATTGGGACCATTATGATAAACAACAGATTCATTTACATTGTAAAACTGGCCCTTAACATTCCATCTGTCCTTGGGCCAGTGGAAATTACAGGTGAGAGGCAAATTTATTTCATAGATCTCTTAAGTACATTAACTTAAAATTAATATAAGGATAATCATCACACAGTAAACTTCTTTAGTCAAATTCTTCCCATTGAAAACAGAACATGTCCTTATATTCACCTGCCTGCCCTCAAGTCCATGAATAGAAAACCTAATATAGGTTCTGTTAAAAATTAATAATAATAATAATAATAATAATAATAATAATAATAA